TTTTAGTAGCATATTATATTTAGTAGGATATTAAGTTTAGTTTTTCCCAGAGATTGTGTCGTCATCCTTCTAGCAGTAAGTCATTTGCAGTCTGCCTGGTTTCCTAGGGTTTAATTAAATTAAAATAAAGATCTGATGAGAAAATTCCTCCCATGGGACTTTTTTTCAAGATGAGAAGGAGGAACAGAGAAATAAAGCTTGTATTCAAAGTAAAAAGAATTACATCCAGTACCCTGTACCATTTCATAATAAATACACCACCAAATAACTTGGAACAGGGCATGGAGTTGCTTTTACATAAACATTGGCATGGAGCTACTTCTCTGTATGGCCAATCCTAAACAAATATTGACCACGTCTAAGTTTTTGATGCTATGGAGGTACTTAAAATATACATGGAGATGAATAAGATCAATTGTGCTTCCTTTTTCTTTCTCCAAGCAAAAGTCTAACCAATCTCCTGGACCATCTACTATCAGAATATGAGTCTCCTGTGAAAGAACCCCACATCTGGAAATTGTATCACACAACGTTTGGTTACTACTATGTTTTAGTCAAACTCTTTGTCCAGGATATAATACAGAAATTGATTTGACCTATAATAATAATAACAACACAAAACATTCTTTCAAGTAACTGGTCTTGAATAGATAATTCACTCAACATGTTTCTTAAGAAAAACAACTCTCTGCTGTGTATTTTTTTCACAAAATGTTTAATTCAGTCTACAATTTTGCAGTTTTCTATTTCCTCATTGCATTTTTTCCCCTGTGGGCTTCTAATGCCATTAGTTGCCTTTTACAGCAGTCAACAGCTACAGACAGAATGTTAAGTATATAGCATAACCTATTGGGCAATTATGTGACCTTAGGAATAGTCCTCATTTTTCAAAACAGTACAGCAATAGGCCTTGTCTGGTCTTGAGCCCAGTTTTCATGTTCTTTTTGCAGTTATTGTTTTGTATGGCTCCTTTGAAAAATACCAATAATGTCACGCTTCCCTTGTTTGGATATAACCAAGGACTTGTTCTATTATTACCCATAACAAGGAGCCAAATCTACAACTGAGGGAATTCAGCCTAGTTTCCAAAATTCTGAGCCCCCCACTCACACACAGCCACTACTTTTGAACCCATTATTCATATGCAGCGGTTACTGCAATAGATTGAACCTACGAAGAGAATGATTCTTGTTCTGTGTGCATTTCTTACATGGAAAGCTTTGACTTGTCCATATCTATAGTCTGAGTAGCTGGATAGAAGTATCCCATCACCTTTAATAAAAGAGTTCCCCTTTCTTTTTTCTTTTCTTTTCTTTTCTTTTCCCCCCCATTGATTAAGATTCTCCTTGGATTGATCTCATTGTGGCTGCCTCCAAGTAGTCTTTAAGGGTAATATAGCAGAGGTTTGCTATTGACTTTTTTCAGGATGATGTTTTTCAGCTTCCCAGTGTAATCAACAGAGAGCCAATATGGTGTAGTGGTTAAGGCATCATGCTAAAACCAGGGGACTATTGAGTTCTAGTTCTACCTTAGACACAGTCAGTTAGATTACTTTGGACCAGTTAATTTCTCTCAGGCCTAGGAAGGCGACAATAGCAAACCACTTTTGTAAAACCTTGTCAGGAAAACTGCAGGAATTAGTCCGGTCAGTTGACAGGAGTGGAAAAAAAATCTAGTCAATAGCCCTGGTATTCCCAGATGGTCACTCTTCCAATACTAACCAAGGCTGACTTTACTTCCATCCAAGCCTGGCAGATTGTGCGATCTGCTAATATCTTGTTCTTCATTGATCCAACTCTCAGATCACAATGTCCTAAAATCAGAAGGCAAAAATACTGTAGAAAAATGCCTATTATTTCCTGGACTTTCCTAACCTGGTAGGCTTCAATGTATTGGGATGTTAAATCTCAGAAATCCCTAACTATAGGCATTCCAGAATTGGCACTAGGATGAGTGGGTTGTTTCAGGTCATGTGCAAATAAAATGGTCTTGTGCTATCATTTCACATGCAATGAAATACCGTGTATCAGATTAATTTAATTACAAGATTATCAAGGATAATCTGGACATATTGCAAGGTTACTGAAGGAACTCAAGAATTTGCAACATGCAACAGACATGGGAATAGTAATTAAGATGTTGAAGGCAATAAAGGAAATTTCAGTTAAAATTTACACAGAGATAATACTAACGATGAAAATAAGCCAGTCATAAACACCTAGCTCAACCTACCTCTCAGGAATAAAATGAAAAGAAACTTTCATGAGACCACTGAGTTCCCAGAGAAATAATGGGATATAAATGTAATATTATATAAGCCAATATTTACTATTTCAATGGAGTTTTTGATCAAGCATGTTCACGTTTTCTGTGCCTAAGTACAAACATTCTGAATTGTTATGAAATAAGGCAAAAATAAATGAAACATTTATGCTCAAGAGTTCAGATATAGCTTCATATATCAGTTTACTCTCAATTTAAACTGCAAGAGGCTAGGAGAAAATTCTCTAACTTAATCTATGAACAATGGGAAAAAGTAGCCTTGGAGCATCATGTAATTCACATTTTTAGATGATTTCAAGAAAAGTTTACACAGGCATCAATCACGTCTCCTGTAGTTAATGAACATTATGTTCAGAACAGAGAGAGGCGTTTTGCTAACAAATCCTGCTCCAGCAAGGAAGAATTTCATTTTCCAGTGGGAATGAATTATTAGTCAGCTGTAAAAAATATTTGGGCACCATGAAGCTTATTTTTTTAACAACACTAACTTCTTGAAATCACTGTTAATGCCTCTGATTTCTACATTTTATTTCTCTTTAACTTCATGGGCTCAAGTAAGAGTAAGAGACAGCTGTTGTGTCCTTCACTGCTTGTGCAAAAACTGTTTGAATTGATACTGACTTCTTCAGGACTGGCAATGTGCAATGTAAGTGTACTAATTGCTGTTGCCCTAACTTTTGGCCTGGCTTTATTTCCCCATTCAAACCCATGGTGCATATAAATTCCTTTCTTGAGATTATACACCATGAGTTCACCTAAACAGATTTTGACTCCATTAAATTTATGCTAGTTGTTAAGCTGCAAGACTTACTTATAATTTGTAGTCACCCACACTTTGTTTTTGAGTGCATTCTCTGCATTTTGTTCAGATACTAACTTTTGTTCAGGAGAAACTGGTTCCTCAAGTTTGAAATAAAAACCATTTGTGTGCAGTTCTGATTTCGTGGAATGAGTGACTTCATAAAATCATTTTATCTCTCCTCAGACATGGTCTGTTTTAGAAATATAAAGCTGAATGCCATGCCTGAAATTCAGCAAAGGAGAAACACAATAATGATTTGCCTGTATCAAAGAGCATTAGCCATTTGTTTTCCAAACATGATTTTCTACTCCATGAATCAAAGCACATCATGACATCCAAGAATTTGGATAAGACTGCGGTCTAAATGAACTTTTTTTTAGGGCTGAAGAAGTCAGGTTAGTATTGTATTTCTGTCCTTTTCTTTTTTAAACTAGAAAATTTGAGTTATAAAATATTTGACAGTCCTCTGTGTATGTGTGTCTGTGTACATGTGTGTGTTATAGAAAAACACATTGAAAGGATGGTCGGGTAACTCAACACAAGCCATGCTACTTCCAATTCTGAAGAAACCTTGAACCTCAAAGTATAACAGGTTGTGTTTGCCCCTTTACTTCCCATACAATCAGTACAAAGCTTTTACTTAAAAGGTGTTTCCTGTGAAAAGGTTTTACTATTGGCAACTGTTTCAGATAAACTTTGTGTGCCTTTTGACAGATTATTATTTCTGTGGCAATATTTGATCAAGGATATTTACTCTTACAGAACACATTCACAATGTTTGTTATCAACACAACCACATACAGTCAAAGTTGAATTATTTTAACCCAATCAAAACAGGAAAAGTAGTATAATAAGAGCATGAGAATCGTTTCAGATTTCAAATGAAAGGCATGTGATCCATCCTATTTCTTATTGTGATTTTACATTTTTCCATTCTTTCACTGCCAAGTCCCATACAAACACTGATTACAAACATGCTGCATTTTGAATCCTTTTGAATGAAGTTCTGGACTTGCAGCTGGGAAAACTGAAACCATTTTTTTCTACATTGCTGTAGACCAGGGGTCTTCAAATTTGGCAACTTTAAGACTTGTGGACTTCAACTCCCAGAATTCCTGGCTGGCTGAGGAATTCTGAGAGTTGAAGTCCATAAGTCTTAAAGTTGCCAAGTTTGAAGACCCCTGCTGTAGACTAACGTCATATTTCTTGCAAAACGTATGATTTGTGAGTGTAGAACCAGAAGTCTGGAGTTCAGAAAATATAAATAAATATGCAAATATCAATGTCAATAAAATGTCAGCAGTTGTAAAAAGTGCCATTTTACCATTTTTAAAAAGGCATTTTTGTGCAAATACGTTTCTGAATAAATGCTGTAGAATATATACTGAGTATTATAACCATATTTGAGATTAACAGTAATTAAAAGGTCATTGTTTTTCAACTGTACATTGTAATACATTACATAGGATTACTTTTGCAAAATAGAACACAGAGGACATATTATTTCAGCCCTCATCATGCCTAGAGATTCATTCATGATGTGATGCATTTTAAAGTTTTTTCTTCTCTTTCTTTCTCTCTCTTTCTCTTCTTTTTTATATTTTCTTCCTGTAAATCAAAACTGGAATATTTTTATATGGACTAGGAGTCACTAATAAATAGCTGCTCTGTATTAAGATATTTATCTAGCAGCAGTTTTTAAAAGTGCAATGTGCTTCCAACACTCCGAAATGTATCCTCATAAATTCATTGTACATTTGCAATACAAAGGTCAACAGGCTCCAATCCAGTGAATGGAAAGAAAAATCTGGCACTCAGAAAGTACATACTTTGGGGGGGGGGGAGGCATTCCATTAAGCTGCAACAACTGAAGAGGAAAATAGTTATTGAAAAATCCAGAATCTCCAGCTAAAATACCCAGACCTGCTCTGAAGCAGTCATCTCTTTAAAAACAGCAAGTACCAATTCTGCCACTAGCTGGTCTCTGGACGGAGCATCTCCTTGAGGACTATCACACAAGCAGGGGAAGAACGGTGCCCCTCCAGTGAGTGACTGGAATGATGCTGGAAATCAGCTTTCAGCATTTGCTTGCAGAATATTTCCCGCAGCCCCTGCCGGAACTTGGGGTCCCAAACACTGTAGATAGCCACATTCCAACAACTGTTGGAAGCAAGGATCCAGAAAGCATAGAAGGAGAATTGGCACCATTCATAGCCTACCACAGTGCCCACAACAAATACAGCAACGGGAGCAAAAGACACAGAGAATGCAAAGGTCAGGATGCCAATGGTCCTGGCAGCAGTGACATCTGAGTAAGAGAGCCTGTGGGTTCCCTGTGGCTCTTCCCTCAGTTGCTTCCTCATTTTGTGGTACTGCCGGAGGGTGGCAAAGGTGATGGTGTTGACAACAAAAGTGCCACCTAAGAGGGTGAAGTCAAATATTGGGTACAGGAGCATGACGTTCCAATTGGACTCTGGCAACTTGCCTGGTGAAAAGCCATAGATACACATCTTACTGCAGGAATTGTATTCAAAGGTGATATTTGGAATTGAGAGCAGAGGTATCACCGCCAAGGAGAAGCTCAGTATCCAAGATCCAAGAATGAGCCAAGTGATCCTGCGCTTGGTAATCACAGCTTTCCTGTGCAAGGGCCTCAGCACAGTGATGGTCCTCTCCACCGAAAGCAGAAATATGGTGCTGATTGAGACAAAAGTGCACCCTGCAAAGATAGGGCCAGTGATCAAACAGACTGACCAGCCAGTTGGACTCCGTTCTTGCTCCGTCTCATAGGCCAACGTGTTCATCTCCTGATAAACTGAGTAAGGTACTACAATAAGCCCCACAGCCAAATCAGCAAGGGCCAAAGAGACTTTTAGGTAGCTTTGGGGTGTCCGGAATTGCTTTATACAGAAGAAAACCAGGAGACTCACCAGATTTCCAAGCGTGATGGCAACGATCAAGAGGACCATGAAGAGCAGCTGGCAGACCACTCCAGCAAAGGCCAGTCTGCAGTCTGTACTATTGGCACTCCTGGTGCTGCTGCTGCTGCTGTTTCCCATCATTGATCAGGCTCTCTTCCCTTTCGCAGGACAAAACAGAAAGAAGCCAGCTAGGGAGCTCCACCTTCAAAGTGCCATGGAAGAGGCTCTACAGGCCAGCAGTTTTCCAGGATGCTTTGCTCAGAAATGACCAATCCATAGGGAAGTCCATGCCAACAAGCTGAAGTTCAGTCGTTGAAGTTCAGATCAGCTGGTAGCACCTGAGCAAAATTCAAACAGGAAGGGCTCCGAAATAACAAGTCTTCTCCATATGTTAAAAGAGGGAACAAAAATCAGAGAAGCAACATCTTTAGGAAGGAATCTGATCTGTGGCTTGTGTCAATATTCGAAGAGTAAGTCGACACTTTCAATCACTGTGTGTGATCCCTCAAAGAACATCCTAGTAGCCCTGCATTTTCTCTCCTCCTCTCTAATACAGATAGTGAATTGATATACTCCTAACAAATGGTGGTGGATATTCTTGAAGCATTTTGATGCATTTTGATATCCAGGCTCCTCCCCTCCCTCTTTGGGGGGGAAGCAAGTAACCTGGACGGCAGCTTTTCAGAGCCTATGATTACCCAACTGCACCACTGCTTCTAACTCACGTTAAAGCTACCTCCCTGTAGTAAATGCAGAAGGGCTTCCTAAAAGGCGGCCAACCCAAGAGCGCATCTTAACTCTTCTCCGCCCTTGGAGGAGGAGGCTCTTCCAAAGTGAAAGCTCCCATCCAAACCCAAACCTGTTGATGCTGTCCATCAGCCCGCCACCCCCACCTTACCCCAAGACATAAGGTGGCTTTTAAAAACGCACCTTAGAAGCACTTCAAGACTGGGACAATTTGTTCCATAGAAAACTGCCCGGCATCTTCCAGCCGCGCAAAATAACCCTGGCACAGCAAAATAACCCTGGCACAGCAGCCAGCGCGCGACGAAATTGCGCGCCCTGCGCACATTCTGCGCTTCTGGGCATCGCTGGTCTCCGCAACGATTTTCGCTGAGTTCCTCGGCCGGCCCCGAAGGGAGCTCGGCTACCAGCGAGACCCTTCCTGCAGCGGCAAGAGCGTCCAGCTCCTACTCGCAACTTAACTGCAAACTCCGCAGTCCTGGCGCGGCGCCCCCCCCCCCCCCGCCTTTCGCTTTAAGTCAGAACCGGCCCTTCGGAAGAGCTCCGCCGCCTCTCGTGCCTCTCTCGCGTCGCCTCTGCCCGATCCCCGCGCTGCCTCCCGGCGACCTGCTGAAAGCGCCGCTCGCCACAGGTGCTGCTTACCCAGACAGGTAGCATCGCCTGGCTCGCCTGCTGAGGAGGCGGGGCAGGCGGGGGTCCGCCCGGGCGCTCCTGTCTCCCGAGTCGTGGACCTGAACCTCTCCGCCAAAGCGAAGGGCAAGCGCCGCCTGGATTTTCGCTCCCTAAAGAACGCCAGCCCGGCCGGGGATGCTGCTGCGTCTGCCCAGGGGCGGCACCTTTGCATGGGACGCCCGAAGGAGCTCGGAGGCGGGAAAACAATCGATCCTCGCAGCGCGTTTTTTTTTTTTTTTTTGCCTTCTCGGGTTCGTGGGCAAAGAGCCCCCTGGAGTCAGCCTGAGCTCCGGGCGTGGTGCCTCATCCCCTGGGGAAGCCGTATCCTGTCCGCTGAGCATGGAACAGGAGAGGTCTATGGAGATGCTCACTCATCCAGGTCATGGTTGTCCCAAGAGGCAACTGGGCTTCCTTTGTTTTAAGCTCAGTGTTTCTCAACCTTGACAATTTTAAGGCATGTGGACTTCAACTCCCAGAATTCCACAGCCAGCAATGCTGGCTGTGGAATTCTGGGAGTTGAAGTCCACATGCCTTAAAATTGTCAAGGTTGAGAAACACTGTAACTTGAAGACGTTTCGCTACTCATCCAAGAAGCTTCTTCAGTTCAACAGAATTAGGAGGAATTAACAACAGGAGACGTTGCTAATTCGGTTTACTTTAGAAGCACAGAAGACTTCTAGGGTAGAGCCGACCAAAAGTCCAAATCAGTGTTTCCTAACCTCCGCGACTTTAAGATAGGTGAGCTTTAACTTAAACCTGAAGCCCACGTGTCTTAATTTGCTGAGATTGAGAAACACTGGTCTAAATGGCCCAGCCTTCTCCATCTGGGCACCTAACCAGGTGGGTCAGATGGTAACAGCTCTCATCAACCGCAGGCAACAGGGAGGGGGGACTGACTGGGCACTTTTGCCCGTAGGGTAGTGGTAGGGCTATTGCTTTTAAAATCAGGGGACATTTTCTCCAGAAGAACAAAGCCTCCAGCAATTTCTCAAGGGAAGAATTTCCTGTTAGCTATGACATAGAATAGCAAAAGCCTCATGGGAGGAATAGAAATTGAAGGAAAAACTGAGCTGAAGCATGGGAAGGCAATGGAAAAAAATAGCAAGAGAAAGGAGAGTCTATTATTGAGTCTCCACTTTTAATCAAATAAATGCGAAAAGGCCATTCCCTCTTCTCGAGAACTCTAATCTATTTTCAAAATTGTATAGTTTGCCAGACATATGTTCTCTCTGTTTACAATCAAAAGCTTCAGGTTCTTTATTGAAGGAGAAAAATAGATAGGCAGAACAGGCAGAACACCCTCCCCAGTTCTTTTCTAGGGACCCCTAGGGAAGTAATAAAATGTCAATTCAGCCATAAAACAGAAATCAAAAGAAAGCTGGGGCCAGCACTGATGATGTTACGTAGTTTAGGAAATGAAATGTCTGCAAGAAAAAAACAAGCTCAGAGAGCCCCAAGGACCCCATATTTCATACAAATATTCTCCTTTATTGGCAAAAGAAAGTTACTTGAAACTGGGACAAGCTTATTGAAAGCAAGGCCAAGGAAGGTAATACTTAAGGGGAAGCAACACACTAAAGGTTACTGTTTAAAGTTTTTTTTTTCTAAAACACATAGTCTTTGTTTGTACAAGCCATTGTCTTTCTAGTTCTACCTTCATTATTCCAGATTCCACAAGTTACATGCATTCCATGATTTGCATAAATCTATATAAGGGGGTTGCATTCCCACACTTTTAAAAGTTTAACCTCTTAGCTTCTAGTAGTGAAATAAAGTAATAAAATAATTTCTAGTAGCGAAATAAAGTCAGTTTATGTTTCAAAAGGAAGGGAGTGATCCTACTAGAGGGGAATGTTTTCCCAACCAGTATTCTACCAGTAAAGAAAAATATATAAGCCAGGAACATTTCTGGAATGGGGTGAGTTTTTGGCATTCATAGTGGGGGCAGCTGAGAGGGGAGGAACTTGTAAAGGATTCTTCCCTCCCCAGGCCTCACAGCTGCTGAGGTTAGGCAGAGGGTAACCCAGAAAGGATCTTAACTTTGGTAGTACCTAAATTAGTAGCATTTTCATTAGATTTAGGCACTCTGAAATCCTATTGTTCTCTCTAATTGTATGAGGCTGCTAATGCTTATAGAGTAAACCTCTGATTTTTCCACTTTGGATGTCTCATAATGTTCAATGAGGCATGCCTTTCTTTCTTAGTTTTCAACCTATTTGCATAATTGGGGATGGAAGTAATTCCCATTGGATTTGGTGAATGTAATTCTTCTACATTTGCATAAAATTTAAGTGTCAAGTTTCTGCTGCCACTACTTTTACCCCTGAATTTATTCTTATTATATGATGATGTTTTATGCTAATAAGTTGAGACTTCTTGCAACAAAACAATAAAACATCAAATCTACAAATAAATAAAGAGCGTTATCTTCCCCACCCCCGCAAAAAAAAACAATTGTGGGGAAAAAAGGAGGAGGAAGGAGAATTATGTATGTACATCACCTTGGGTTATTTAGAGTAATAAAAGGGGGATAAAAATCAAATAAATAAAGGTTCCTGGGGGAAATGAGGTGAGGTGAATACCAAGAGTATATATTCCCACAGGGTCATCTTCTAAGACATGACAGTGAACCCATCTGCCCAACTAAACCAACCAGATACTTATATTCAGCAGCAGAGATATAGGAAGATGCTAGGAACAGATAATCACTTTAGTGACAATGGCAAAAACACTAATCCATATTGCGTAGGAGAAAGCAATAGGTATCACTCCTGTGCCTTTACCAGGAAAACTCATATGAATGGAAAATATAAAATAATGTTATAGTCACCCAGAGTTGTGTTACAGTGAGATGGGCAGCATATACATTTAATAAATAAATAAATAAATAAATAAATAAATAAATAAATAAATAAATAAATAAATAAATAAATAAATAAATAAATAAATAAATAAATAAATAAATAAATAAATAAATAAATAAATAAATAAATAAATAAATAAATAAATAAATAAATAAATAAATAAATAAATAAATAAATAAATAAAGCCAGATGTCAGCATGCACAATCTTATTGCATTGAAGTAACCCAGGAGTAAATATAGTAAACAGTGGTTTGTATTAAATGTGGTTTATATTACACACTATCTACAAATATACACTAGGAACAAAATACATTCACATGGTGATAATTCAGCAAACTCCAATATACAGCAATTACAGCAGGAAAGGAACCAGACAGAAAGACTCCAGCAAGACCTTCCCTTTTATACTCAAGCTCTTAAAAGGATACAGACTCCTGCTGAGTCATTCCTAACATTGCATCATTCATCTCACATTATACAAGCTGGTTACCTTCTAAATCATTATCTTGACACCAGATGATGAGCTCTTCAGGTCATATTGCACTCAACATAGTACTGTGGACTGTTTGGCGTACTAATGGTGTCTCTGCCATGGTTGGATTAAGGCCTTCAGGCTATCTAATTGTTGATATTGCCATACAAGAAAAAAACAAACTCAAGACTGCAAAAAAGAATCACAGTAAGAATGTGGACAGTAACAAACATAAACATGGAAATATATAACTTTGTGAAAGGTGAAATGAAACAACTTTAGTGATAAGCTAATTTAGATGTATTGGAATTAGACACTTTCAATTAGAAGATTATACTGTTTATTACTCTGGAAAACAAGAAACGATATTGCTTTTACACTTATG